AGCCCAGGAAACCAGGTCTTGCCACAAGCTCCTGTTCACCCAGCTTTCGCACTTTGGCCAGCAGAGCTACTGCCGAAAAACTGCAGCTAGTGTGATTTTTTTTTTTATTGATTTTTTTTTTAAACGCTGCTACAGTTCTTTAACTCTTCTCCAGAGAAGTTGGCAGCTACCTGCCATGCTGTGCCACCAGGACACCCACCTGGATGGCTGATGTGGCCACCCAGTGGGGTGAGTCCCTTTACAGACCAGGAGCTTCAGCTTTAACTGAAGGTCTGCAGACCATCACGACCACACTTTGCTCTTTCCTAGGCTAAGGACAGGCCTTGCAGTTCAGGTCTGCTCCACAGGCTTTGGCCAAACTCTCCTGGCATTATCAACCTCTGTCTTCTCCTCCCAAAGTGGCTCATTCTGGGCCCAGCTGGGCTTTTTGTGTGCTTTCCAAGAAGCAGACTCTTAGAGCAGGAGCCCTGAAAAAAAACAGACAGCTAATGGGATCTCTGTGGCTGTAAACATGTTTCCATGAAATCTCACATTCGTTCCTGAGAGATGGACTGCGCTCGCCCTGCCTGTCCCCCAGGCAGCTGACCATGCACCCGTGCCTTCAAGGTGTCATTCGCAGTCAAAAGGTCTTTGCACAGCTTGCTCCTGACTTGTCTGGAGCCAAGAGGGGAGGTCAGCAGGGACAAGCACATCCTGACCATGGTGCCTAGCAAAATCTGGGCACGGCTCCTTCTGTGTGCAAACTCTGCTGCCAGTTGGATGCCAGGGAACTGGTACAGCTGAGCTACACAAAGCTCCGGTCCAGGCTGGCAAACTAAGAAAACTCAACTGGTCAGAAGTCTTGTGTTCAAAGCAGCAAGCAAAAGTGCAGCTTGAGACTCTGCCACAGACACTCCATGATTTCAGGTGACTTCTCCAGGTCTTGAGCACCTGCAGAATTAGGGCAGCAATTCTTCCTGCTTCCATCCTCTAGCTGTGGGATTTCTACAGCCCAGGACTGTCAGAGCAAGGCTCAGCATTCAGCACAGCAAGGACCTTGTTGCAGAGGATAAAGGCATGTTAGGTATGTTATATACACAGTAGTAACTGC